GCTAAGCTTCAGTTTTTTTGCGTTACTTTGTACTTTTCTGCGCTTTTTCATTTCCCACCACACACACACACACACACACACACACACACAAACATACAAACATGCATATGTACACATATATACATACATTTCATACATACATACATACATTTAATTTCATTCCCCTTGCGTTCTTTGGCTTTTACTTTTGTATATTTGTTTGCCTTTATTTTAAATGTGACTGAGACGCTGACGTCGCTGTCGACGTCAACGGCGCGAACGCGACGCTTGCGCTTACTCACAATCAAATCTCACGCCGCATTTTTAGTCTCAATTTGTTTGTGCTTCAATAATAACTGAAACGAAAAACTCACGCGGCTAAAGCGACGATTCCGTCAACGTCAGTTTACTTTACCTTACTTTAGTTTACACTTTTTATTTGCTATTTTTCACTCTGTTGTGTGTGTGTTTTTTTTTTTTTTTTTGTTATTATTGCCTCTGCTATTGCATGTTTGTGTGTGTTTGTCTGCTCAATAGTAAACTGTTTTCAAACCCACCAATTCGCTGCTGCTGCTTCTGCCGCTGCCGCTGCCGCTGCCACTGTTGTTGCAGTAGGCGAGAGCTTTCGAGAGTGAGAGAGTGAGCGACGACAGGCCGGCAGGCAGGCATACATAGCTGCCGCCGCCGCCGCTGCCGCCGCCGCAACTCGTTCGTTTCCACTCGCTGCGCTTACATTTTGTGTTGTCGTGGGTCGTCGCCGACGTTGTCGCTGCGTTCGTCGCTCGGTCGCCTCGGTGAGTGGGTCGTGTGGTCTCGTCGTCGATATTGTTGTTGCAGCAGCAGCATAATTAGACGTCAGCGTCAGCGTCGTCGTCGTAGTCATCCACCTCTCGCTGCTGCTGCCAATCTGCGTATGCGTAACGCGGCTCATTGCAGTTGTTGTAGCCCGTTTTATTTTATAATTGTTCAGTTTTTTTTTGCAATGTTTTCTTTGCATGCATATACGCACTCATGCACATATGTATACAATTGATATACATTTATATATATATGTATATGTATATATATATGTGTCTTTAAATATATGTAAATTTCTTTTTCTCCCTGTTGCCATTTTCATGTTGTTATTGTTTTTTCGCTGCTCGTTACCATTTCGTATGCAGGCATCGCCAAAGTCGCATATTTCTATGCGTTGTATGCATAATTATTAAATTTAATTAGTTGACTTACATACGTTAAACAAATAATTTTCAATACAATAGGCAGCCAACATCTCATCTATACGTATGCGTGTGCTGTGTGTTTGTGTGTGTACGTGACTTGAATCAAATGCATGGAATTTCTAATTTTGATAACATTTTTTCGACTGTTACAATTCGTATGTGTACAAATGCATGCATAAGTACATGTGGTATGTGTGTATGTATATGTGCATGTATATGTAGATTAGCACTTGTGCTTTGCTCTCTCAGTTGTGAGGCACCTACATAGTATCGCACGATTAGCACCCACCAGCGGCGACTTGAACACAAAACAGATATTCAATTGAATTGGCAACTCTACCACTTGTAGTTGTAATTGCCAGACATGTCAGATTTATGGACAAACATTCATATAATACATGTACACATGTATAAATATATATGTGTGTGTATGTGTATGTCGCTATTTCAATTGTTATTGTAAAACTTGCAAACATTTTATTCAATATGCTTACACATGTACATATGCATATATGCATACACATATGTACATGTATGCATGGTGCTTATGTGTGTGTGTGTGTGTGTGTGTATAAGCAAGTGCAAGTCCGAGAATGTTTATGATTCATTTGGAATGTTTCACAGAATTAACTGTAATTTAAACTACCCTATACTGATTTTGTGCAAATGTATGTAACGGAAGCATCTCCCATATATGTACATACATGTGTACATATATGTATGTAAATCAATATCGATATGTTGTTTTTTGGAAATTTACTGTAAATGCAGGTCAGTGCAAGGTTGAGGATATCTTCTGGACGGAGACTACCTTCTAAAGCACTCCTGTTTTTCGTTCTTACTTTATGTAGAATCGAAATTGTAGTAAAGTCTATATAAAGGTAACATATCCACTTGTTGTATCGATGTACCCATGCTGTCTCTGTTCTTACATGCGTGTAGGGTATCTTCTTCGGTCTCATACATATGTATGCATATGGAGTACTCAAGTACTCGTATTTTTGATCGAGTCAACTTGAGCCGTCGCAATCTTCATTTTGTCGCGCCCAAAATCAACAAAAATATTTGTATTTTATTTACTCGTGAACATTTGTTGTTTTTTTCTTTTGTTTTTATTTTTTTTTTTTATGCTGCGATTACGTCAGCTGAGAGTCATTGGGACGAATGTCAATGCTAACAAAATTATACATACATACATAAATTAAATTATCTGAATATACTGGTGTACATTTGTGTGTGTGTGTGAGTGTGTGTGTGCGCATAATTTGTAGTTAAACATTTTGCAGCGTTTTTTGTTGTGTTTATAAATTTGTTTGTTGTCGGTTCGGGTGAAAGTTGCGCAGTTTGAAATCAGATGAGGCAAAATACATACATATAATAAAATGGAAGACATATTAACATACACCCAGTTACATATACACATGCATATGTATGTTTGTATATGCATGCATAGCATACATGCGAAGCAATTCAGCAATAAGTGCAACACGAAATCATCCACAAAAAGCGAAAAGCCAAAAAAAATGAAAAGAAACAACAAAAATAATGCATAAAATAAGCAACTAGAGAGAGAAATTAAAAACTTGAATGCTGCGCGTTGATGGCGTTGCCAGACTAGTGAGAATGCCCACTAAATGTTATTTGTATACCCTGTTCTTGGGAAATATGGCCGCAAGCTATGATAAATGGGTTATGCAGTATAAATATACTTGATCAATAATAAATATATATATATATATATATATATATATATATATATATAGTTATGATTATTTTTTGATATAATTAGAATTTGTTTATTGTTTTTTTATTAAATAGTAAAGTAAAATAGTAAAATACAAAGTATGGGCTATATGGTAGATTGCAGATTGTGAATCGTTCGTAATCGGGCTATATACATAGATACATATATATATATATTTATGCAATTATGACTGTATGACGTGGCAGGGTATCTCAAAGTCAGTCACTGCGACACACTCAGAACATTTGTTGTTGTATTTATTTATTTTTTTTTGTTCATCCAATATGTATGCCAAACCCAATGTACATACATATATACATACGTGCATTCATTTTGTGCTTTTGCTTTGTTTATATACTACATACATATGTACATACATACATAAATACGCAAACGTATGATTATGTGTGAATGTGTGTGTATGTGTATGTTGTGCTTTAAATTCGAAATTTCGATGCATACTCGCGTTCTATCAATCATTTTACACACACACACACATACACATAATATGCTTGTATGCATGCATGCATGCAGCTAGTTGAACTAATCTAGAGAACAGCAGCGCAAACATAACGGGGCACTTACTCCCACTCCCTCTAGCTCTGCGTCTAGATACAAAACACCAGGTGCGTCAATAGCCATACACACACGACGAACGCATCCTCGTACCATTAGCTGATAATATTAATGCCCATTATGGGAAAATACTAATACAATAATACATAGCAGCACACATTAGTATCCACATGTACATACATGTTTGTGCTTGCATGTACATAAGTATGTGCATAATTAAAGAGCATACGACTATTGAATGCGAGTTCGCATTTTGGGGCTGGGCAACGACCAAAGCATTTCAGCAGCAGCGGTCTCCTCTTCTAGCGCTCTCTCAGCTACTGTTAACGGCAATGTTCTATTAAAATGCTTTCACCCAACAACACAACATACCTACATATGTATGTACGTATGTTCGTATGTGCTTGTGCTGTGCGCCTGCTAACAGTAGAAATTAAAATCCACTTTGGTTCACGGCTGCTCTGTCGACGTCGACTGCTGCATTTCGCTGCTAACGGCAAATCTAAAGACCAGCCGCAGCATGCTTTCGAAATTGTTTTTGCTGGCAAAAAGTGCAAAGAGCTTTCTAACGCACACGCAATGGCAACGACAACGGCAACGTCAGTGGCATCTGCGGCCTTGCGATCGCTCCACAGAAGAACAAACGAGAAATGCTGAGAAACAGATACAGTATAGTGACGGGGACGGCGACATCAGCAGACAGAAAGAACTAAACAATTTAAGTTCACTCGGTTAACAGACAGACATATACATGCATACATACATATACATATACATGCTTACATACAAACGTTCAGTCGGCGTCGCAGTCGGGTTTGCTCCCTGCCAACCAGCCCGCTGTCGTTTTTGTTGTAGACTTGCCAATTTTACCTTGCCGCTGCTCTCTAGCACAACAGTGTCGAACTTAAAGAGCGAGTAACGTGACGTGTCGTTGTCGGCAACGCGCGCGCTTGAATTTTTTTTATTTTTGCCAACTTCCTACAAAATACAACTACAGCAGGCAAAAGCAACAATAAAAACAGGCAAGAGGCAATCTAAACGATACGAATGCCAAAGCGAAGCGTATGTGTAACATAAATGCAAAACGTGCAAATCAAGCAAAGTGTGCAAAACAAGCAAGCTAAAAGAAAAAAGGAAAACACAAAACACAAAATACAAAATACAAAACAAAAAACAAGACGAGAGTCATATCGGCAAACAGCAACAGAGAGAAAACGCAAAAGAGTGAGTGCAAATAAGTCGAGAGAACACCGGCCGAACACTCGCTCTTGCAGCACACACAAACACACCACTTACTCACGCGCTCAGCGGGAGAGCACGAGAGAGTTCTAGCAACAACGCTGCGCCTATGGGCAGCTGATTTATAAAATTTTGCCGGTAAGCGTATCAGCTGTTTAACAACGGCGACGTCAGCGTCAGCAGCGACATATGCTCACTGTTACGTTGCCATGTTAGCTACTGCAGCAACAACAGCAGCAGCCTCTGCGAACAGCGCCGCACGCAAACGCAGCCGCAGCACCAGCAACAACAACAGCAGCAAGCGTAGCGCCGGCAGCGGCGCCGCTGGTCGCAAGTTAACCAAGAGCGTGAGTGTTGTTATTTTTTTTTCTTCTTTTCGTTTTGTGTGTGTATTTCTCTTTGTTTACATTGGCGGTGCTTCGTGCACGTGCTGATGCTTTCTGCTGCTGCGGCACTTTGCTGTGCGCCCAGTATACGTTTTCTTAACATGGGTCTGTTAAGCAATTGGGGACGCAATCCATGTTAACCCATTGATTGCCCTGTATGGAAATTAACAAAATTTTATATTTTAAAGAGAAATAAACACACAATCAATTACATTGTCTTCCCCATAATATATTTTTAAACGAGAATTAGCCAGTTTATTTTTAAGTGCAATAACTTTAGCAGTTCAACATGCAACCTTATTGGGTTGATAATGTAAATATTGAAGATGCATAATAATTACATATAATCTGCCGATAATGAAACTAATGAAACGAAAAAAAAGTACTAGGTTTTTATTAAACCAATGACAACGATAAAAGCAGCAACAAAAATATATAATGAAAAAAAAAAAATACAAAAATTAATTATTCGAGTGGCTCTGCCTTGCGTGCTTTTAACGTTCGCTTCCCATTCATTCGTCGCTACGATTCGTGCCTGTTCGGCTCGTCGTCGTTGATACACGACGACGCCACTCGCACGCTAAAAATAAACGGACATACATAGTTTTTTCTTTCTTTTTTTGTGCTGTGGGTAAGCAATGAAAACGAAAATTTGCGTGACGTCTCTCGACCTTGACTCATCGATGTGAACTGTTAAACTGCGGCGACGACGGCGACTGTTGTTGCCTGGCGTTGCGCGACGGCGTTGCCAGACAGCTACGATTGTTTTGGACTGTTGTGTTGGATGGCAGCCCTAATGTCAACGTCTTGCCGTGATGGCGACAACCAGTTTTTAAACACTCACTAATGCATGCACACATCTATACATATATATATATATATATATATATATATATATATATTTTTTTTTTTGTAATTTTGTGTGTGTGTATTTGCAATGAAGCATTATCACAACACGTTGCCAAAAGCAAAATAAAAACTTGTTCGTTGCATGCGCTGAGGCTGCGGCTGCAGTGTCGTTCGTGCGAGTGAGGCAGAATGATAGCGTTAAAAAAAGGCTGCTGCCCGAAAGCATTTGAAAAAGCACCAAATATGCAACGGTTTTTCAAGCTGCATTGGAATGCACTCGAAATCGTTATAGTACTCGCTCACTCTCTCGCACAAACATACATACAAACATACATGTGTATGTACATACATACGTACATCTGCTGCAGTCGCTGCCGCAGCAGCAGTTGCAGTTGCTGACGCCACACATACACACACACACATACCCACATGCACAGATGGTGCCAATAAGAAGTGCATGCTAACGTTATGCATGTCACTGCCACACCCTCGCACGCTGCCCCGCACCCACACCGACGCTATACAGAGACCAGAGACAAGTATTCATATAGAGAGAGGGACGCTCACGCTCGAATTTGGTTTTGTCTCGGTTCGTTCTCGCCGTCTACGTCTGCGTCTCGCGGGCCTTTTCGCACGCTTTTGCTTTTGTGGTCCCCATCAACAACATCAACATCATCATAGATTTATCTCATTCGCGCGCACGTGAGTGGAGCAAGCCCAAAAATTAAGTCGTCGCTGCCCATTTCGTTTGCGTTTTGGGCTCGCCGCGGCTCGCACGGTTTGTTATCATTTGTTTTCTCTTTGGGTCTTGTCCGTTGTTGGTGTTGCCAATTTGGGCCGTTACAACTTTCTTGTGTGTTCGTTCGGGTTTTGCATTTGCTCATTTTTTCTTAGCCATGTTTGGCAACACTCTTTCACGGCGTCACATCTTCCGCTCTCACTCTCATCAAAGCAGCAGCAGGCAGCACCTTCGTTCAGCGCCCAGCTGTTGTTGTCGTGTTCAGCTAACCGCAAACAGCGATGCGTCGCAACGCGGCGCGACGACAGCGCGAAATTTGCTTCCTTCCTTTTTACGCTGCTCGCTGCTGACTGCGGCGCTTGCAGAGCCGTTGCCAACATCGCCAGGAATACGTTGCCGTTAAACGTTAAATAGAGCAAATCAACAAAAATAAAAAAAAAAAATAAACTCAACTGAATTACATATAAAAATCTCACTAACCTCATGTTTAGAAATCTTTTGTCCAATTCTAATTTAAAGTTTCGTACTATTCCCTCCGAAACTGGCTATCAAAATATGCTGCAAATATGTAGATCAACTTTGAATTTATTTTTCATGCGCTTTTAATTCGAATCAGCTTGATGATTATTTTTATTTTTCAATCATTTATATTGCGTTTCCATTCACAGTCACACACACATATATATATATATATATATATATATATATATATATATATACGTTATACATGACATGCATGTGCGTATGTACTATGTACATATGTATAAATACGAACATAATTTGGGCAATGGCGTCGTCGCCAGCGTCGCTGTCAACGTCGACGTCGACGTCAACGCGCGCCTCGCGAAATGACAAAGACGCCGGTTGGGTTGCTCTGCTGCTGCTTGCGCTGGGCAATGTTGGAAGTGTAGCAAGAAGAAGAACGCTCGCAGTCGCGCAGCAAAGTCGTCGCAGCAGCAGCAGCAGCAGCAACTACAAATAGTTGTTGTAGTTGTGTAGTTTAGTTTCGGTGTTGTTTTTGGATGGGCGCGCGCGGAAGTCGCAGAAATTTATCAAAAGCAACAGAAAACCCATCGGGCCAACGAAGGCCGAGCGAGCGAACGACAGACGAAGCGGTGGCTGCCTGTCAATCGGATTAATTTTTATTGTACATTTCTTTCCATCGTTTTTGCAAATATGTAGTGCTGTGTAGTGGTGCAGTTGTGTTGTTGTCTCGACTTCAGCTCCGGCTCGTTGTGTGCTCGCTCTTTCTCACTCTCTCTGTAGCGCTCTCTTTGGTTTTGTGTCTCTCACCCCCGCTCTCGCGCTCGCACTCTCTGCAAATAGCAAAAGCGCCGAGTCTGAGACGTTCGTCGCTGTCGCTGTCGCTGCTGCTGTCGTCGTTGTCGTTGTCTGCGTACGCGTTTTGTTGCTCTTGTTCTTCTTTTTTCACCTTCTTTCTTGCTCGTTACGGGCCGCGCGCACCATTACAAATACGCGTATAACAATTTGCTGCCTGCCCCGAAACTGAAAGAAAAATACAAATACCAGCCATAAACTAAGTACGCGGCGTGCAAAAGAGTCGATTATAATCGTAAAGCGTGATGTAAAATTCATAAAAGTGCATAAATAAACACAGCAATGAATGTGATAAATTATAATACAATGTGAAAATTCATACACACACATACACGCACACACATACACATCATACACACGCATACATACACACACAGAAGCAAAGCGTATGTGTGTGCAGAAAAATATGCGGCGCTTAAAAAAGGTGAACGGCATTTTGTCATAAATAAGACACACACACATACACAAAGCAAATGCAAATGCAAATTAAAAAAAGAAAAATAAAAAGGAAAAATAAAATTAAATTGTGTTGTGGGGAAAGAAACTTGAAAAGAAGTGTTCGCAAAAAGTAAATACATATGTACGAAAGAGAAAAAAAAATTGTGTTGGGTAGACAAATAATTTGTATTTTAATTTTCAACTTTGTTCTTGTTTCGTTTTTTTTTTCTCTCTCATTGTCTTTGCTTTTTGATAAAATATTCCAACATGCAGAGGCACACACTCACAGACACACACACATACACACACACATACACACACACATACACACACACATACACACACACATACACACACACATACACACACACACACATACACACACATACACACACACACAACACTCAGGCACTGCTGCTGCTGCATTGCGCTCACTCACACGCACGTCTCGCGGAGCGGCGCTCAGCAGAGTAGCACGCGCTTGCTATGACGTCTCACTCACTCATACACATATAACGCGTACTCGTCATATTGTTGCCATGTATTTTGCACGTTTCTCTTTCGCTATTCTGCCATTTTTTTTTTATTTTTTCAATTTGCGGTTCAGCTTCATCGTTGCCACTTTGTTGAGAGGCATATGTCTGGCAGCGCTGCGCTATCGCCAACGAACCAGCGAATCAAAACAAAAAGTGGTTCAGTGTTGCAAACGGCAGTGCCTTGCATATCGATAAGAGGAATCGATCAATTACTTAGTTTAATACATGTAATGTGCATAAAACAATAGAAGAATTAACTTATTTTGTTTGTTTTGTTTTACCTTTTCCCTGCAGATGTCCGCCGGCGCTCAATTGCAGATGGCCCCACAGACCACATCGACCCTAAGTCATCATCATCCGAGCAGTCAAGCAGCACAGCAGCAACAGCAGCAACAACAGCAGCAGCCGCCACAGCAACATTTTGCAAATCATCACAGTACGCAAGCGCAGCAGCAACAGCAATTGCTGCCACAGCAACTCACGCAGCAGCAACACTTGCAAACGCACACGTTGCATTTGCAACAGCAAGCGGCAGCAGCAGCAGCAGCAGCGGCGGCGGCGGCAGCTGCGCAACAGCAGCAGCAGCAACAACAACAACAACAGCAGCAGCAGCAACAACAGTCGCTGCATCATAGCGCACTGCCGCCACAACATCAACAGCTGCAACATTTGCACCAGCAGCATCCGCACGCAGCGCTGCATCAGCAGCAACAGCAGCCACACGGCGCTGCTGGCGGACACAGTAGCAATCCGGACTCGAATATGAGCACTGGTTCATCGCACAGCGAAAAGGATGTCAACGATATGCTAGGACTCGGCAGCCTACAACAGCAGCAGCTAAACGCTGGACTGCACTCAAACAACGGCGCCTCCATGCTTGACATGCTCAGTGTCCAACAACAGCAGCAGCAGCAGCAACAACAGCAGCAGCAGCAGCACAATAGCACTGGCCCGGGAAGCGGACCTGGACCCGGACTTGTACCCGCCACCAATGCCAGCGGGAAACAGCCGCGCACGCCCGCGGAGCGCAAGCGAAAACGCAAAATGCCGAATAGTTCAGACGAAACCGGCAACGGCGGCGGCGGCGGCAGCAGCAGCAGCGTCGTTGGCGGCCTTAAAGTCGGCAAATCGCTGGCATTCCGCGACGGCATTTCAAAAACGCCAGCCGGCCTAGCGTTAAGCCTGGGCGCTGATCGCTGCACACTATCCAGCGGTGGCGGCGGCGGCGGTGGCAGCGTCAGCGGTTCCGGTGCCAGCGCTGGCGGAAAAAGTGCGCGTCTATTACTGCCAGGCGCCAGTGACAACAAGAAGATCAACGATTACTTCAACAAGCAGCAGCAGCAGCAGTCGGGCGGCAATTCAACGCTGCGGCAGCACACGGGCAGCAAGTCGCCATCGTCGGCAACACAACAGCAGCAGCAACAGCATCAGCAGCAACAACAACAGCAGCAGCAACAACAACAGCAGCAGCAACAGCAACAGCAGCAGGTCAACAGCCAGGTGCAGACGACGAGCGCGTATTCCATACACGGCTATCATTCAACTAGTCCACAGACGCAGTCGCCCAGCCAGCAACAGGTGCAGCAGGCGGGCGCCGAGTTTCATTTTGTTAGCTCTGCGGCGGCGGCGGCGGCGGCAGCAGCGGCGGCAAAACAGCAGCAGCAGCAACGCCAACAGCAGCAGCAGCAACAGACTTCCAACGCAATGGTTCCTCAGCAGACGCAAATGGGCGTGGCCATGTCACATGTCGGCGTGGCGCATGGCGTCCTTAACGCCGCCAGTCTCGGACTGGGCGTGGTCGGTCCACAAACGGCACAGCAGCAGGCGCAGCAACAGCAACAGCTGCCCGTGACCACATCGGCGGCCAGCGTGGCCGTTGTGCCCACGCATCAGCAGCTAAGCACGCTGGGCGTCAATGTCGGCGTCGGTGTTGGCGTCAATGTGGGCGTCGGCGTGGGTGTGGGCGGTTTGCCGCCACCGCCGCCGCCACTGCCAATGCCGACGGCAATCATGACATACACGAAGAGCACACAAACGGAAGTGTCACAGATGGAGCTACAGGAGCGGGAGGCGGAACACGAGTCGGGTAAGGCGAAGCTGGACGAGATGACAAGACTGTCCGATGAGCAAAAGTGCCAGATAATGAGCCACCAGAAGGTGATCGATCAGCACAAGTCGCACATTGCCAAGTGCATTGATGTGGTTAAGAAGCTGCTCAAGGAGAAGAGCAGCATTGAGAAGAAGGAGGCGCGACAGAAGTGTATGCAGAATCGATTGAGATTGGGCCAGTTTGTGACACAGCGCGTCGGCGCCACATTCCAGGAGAACTGGACGGACGGCTATGCGTTTCAGGAGCTCAGCCGACGCCAGGAGGAGATAACGGCTGAGCGTGAGGAGATCGATCGCCAGAAGAAGCAGCTGATGAAGAAGCGCCCAGCCGAATCCGGACGCAAGCGCAACAACAGCAACCAGCAAAACAACCAGCACCAGCAACAGCAACAGAATTCCAATTCCAATGACTCCTCCCAGCTGACTGATCGCCTTGGCGGCAATGCCGGCGCCGGCAGCCTGGACAGCGGCATTGCTGTCGGCAACGCCGCCGTTAACGCATCTGGCGCCGGCGGCGTAGGCGCTGGCAGCGGTGCTGTTGTGGTCGTCTCGTGCGGCCGTGGTCTCTCCCGCTCCAATTCAACACAAGCCCAGCAGGCGCAACTGCTCCATAATGGCGGCGGTGGTGCTGGCGGCGGCGTTGCCGGCGGTGGCGGCGGCGCCGGATCGGGCGCCAATGTCGGCAACAGCGGCGGCGTCGGTGATAGACTGTCGGATCGCGGCGGCGGCGGTGGTGGTGCTGGCAGTGGAACCGGCGTTGGCGGCGGCGGCGGCATCGGTGGCAACGATAGCGGCAGCTGCTCCGATTCGGGCACATTTCTTAAACCGGATCCGGTGTCAGGCGCGTATACGGCGCAGGAGTACTACGAATACGATGAGATACTCAAGCTGCGACAGAACGCACTCAAAAAGGAGGACGCCGATCTGCAGCTGGAGATGGAGAAGCTCGAGCGTGAACGTAATCTCCACATACGCGAGCTCAAGCGCATACTCAACGAAGATCAGGTACCTGAACCAGTCCAGCCTGGCTAGTCCTCAACAAGTATCTGTTTGTCTAATCACATTTTTCATTTCCCATTGCAGTCCCGCTTTAACAATCATCCTGTGCTGAATGATCGCTATCTGCTTCTGATGCTGCTGGGCAAGGGCGGCTTCTCCGAGGTGCACAAGGCATTTGACCTCAAGGAGCAACGCTATGTCGCATGTAAGGTGCACCAATTAAACAAGGATTGGAAGGAGGATAAGAAAGCTAATTATATCAAGTGAGTAGAGGCAGCAGCGCGAACAGAGCAATTAGAAATTACCAACTAGAAATCAATTAGATTCCTTCAACAACATTCAAAAATTCGTCCGTCACTTAACAGTGCATGTTCAAATCCTAGAGAAGAGCGTGCCATTTACAGTCACATGTTAAGTGTAACATTTTACATGTTAACAAAAGCGCGCCATAGCTTGTCAAAATTAATGTTATCTCCACACATAAAAAATGTTGATACATATTTGCCAGCAATATTTGCCTTGCCATAGACTAGGACTTTAGTTAGGGGAAATAGAAAAGTGAAAAGGGGGGAAGTGGATTCGCTTCGATTGAATTTTGCTCATGCTTCCGTCTTTGTTTTGTATACTTGAAATCTAGACACGCCTTGCGGGAGTACAACATACACAAGGCGCTGGATCATCCGCGCGTGGTGAAGCTCTATGATGTCTTTGAGATCGATGCGAATTCATTCTGCACCGTGCTGGAGTATTGTGATGGACACGATCTCGACTTTTATCTGAAGCAGCATAAGACTATACCCGAGCGTGAGGCGCGCTCGATAATAATGCAGGTGAGTGTGCACGAAACTATATATGGAACGATTGTTATCCATTAACTGAAATGTCCAAGTTGAATTCTAAGTTGAAGCCATGTGTTTTTGTGCGGCAATTCAAAGAATCGGGCATATAACTAAGCACTTCTATATGTTGCTATAATACCCTTTGTGCGCGGCACTCGTAAACGTAAACGTTTTCATATTCATATTCATTATTTTATATTCAGGTTGTATCTGCACTCAAGTATCTAAATGAGATTAAACCGCCTGTCATCCATTACGATCTGAAGCCGGGCAATATATTGTTAACCGAGGGCAATGTCTGTGGCGAGATCAAAATAACCGACTTCGGTTTGTCCAAAGTGATGGACGATGAGAACTACAATCCGGATCATGGCATGGATCTGACATCTCAGGGCGCGGGCACCTATTGGTAAATAAAAATCAAGTTGACTTTTTATATAGAACTAACTCAATAATTCGATTGGTGTTTTGCAGGTATCTGCCGCCGGAATGCTTTGTGGTTGGCAAGAATCCACCGAAAATCTCATCAAAAGTGGATGTGTGGAGCGTGGGCGTGATATTTTATCAGTGTTTATATGGCAAGAAGCCGTTTGGCCATAATCAATCGCAGGCCACAATTCTCGAGGAGAATACCATACTGAAGGCCACCGAAGTGCAGTTCTCCAACAAGCCAACTGTCTCCAATGAGGCAAAGGTTAGTCCGAAACACAATTTGTTGTATTCCTTAGATCATATTTTAATGCTGGCTCTGGATTTTGATTGTTTCTCGTAGAGTTTCATACGCGGCTGTTTGGCCTATCGCAAGGAGGATCGCATGGATGTGTTTGCACTCGCACGGCATGAGTATATACAGCCGCCCATACCGAAGCACGGGCGCGGCTCGCTGAATCAACAGCAGGCGCAGCAGCAGCAGCAGCAACAGCAGCAGCAACAGCAACAACAGTCGTCCACGTCACAGGCCAATTCGGCGGGACAGACATCGTTCTCAGCCCACATGTTTGGCAATATGAATCAGTCCAGCTCGTCCTAGCTGCCAACTAAACGCAATTCCAATTCATAATTCGCCGCCGCAGCAGCAGCTGCTAGCCAACAGCAACGTACCAACAACAACAACAACAGCAACAACAACAACAGCAACAACAACAATAATACTAATAACATTAACAACAGCAACAACAACAATAGCAGCAGCAGCAGCATAAACAACAACATTAACAACATCTACAGCAGTCGTAGACTGCACAGCAGCAGCTATTATGCCACAACATTGCTTGATGCGGCCGCCTATTGCTACGAGACTGTAATGGATGCCACGCACTACAAGTTGCAGCCGCCAGTAGCAGCAGCAGCAGCAGCAGCGTCATCAACAACAACCACAACATTAACAGCAACAACATTGCACTCGCAACAGCAGCTGCAGCTGCCTGTATGCCCACATGCCATGCCCACAGCAGCAGCAGCAGCAGCAGCAGCAGCAGCAGCAGCAGCAGCAACAACAACAATTAGCGGCACCGGCACCGGCACCGGCACCACAACAACAACCACACGCACCTATCTGGGCATGTACAAGCGCTGGCAGCAGCAGCAGCTGCAGCAACAGGCGCAACTGCAACAGCAACAGCAGCTATTGCTGCTGCAGCAGGAGCTGCTCTAGCTGTGCACTGACGTTAAGCAACACTGCCAACAGTTAACGAACGCTTACTGCTGCTGCTACTGCTGCTGAAGCTGCAGCTGCAGCTGCAAAAGTATACAACAGCACCAAAGGAGAAACAGATGCAACAGCAACAGCAACAGCAACAACCACAAAAACAACCAGCAAGAACAACCCGAAGAATTTCCATAGGCGCCTCCCAAGCAAAGCGCGTCGCAAATGCATAAAATAAAAGCAAAAAAAAAAAAAACTAAATTAAACAAAACTATATACATGTATGAATATATATATGTATATTTATATATATATATATATATATATATATATATATATATATATATTTATAGTATATATATGCATATATATTATATTAAATGTGATAAACAAGCGAAAAGCAAAAAAAAAAAAAGAAAAAAGAAGAAAAAGAAACAAAACAATGAATACAGCTGAACATAAGAATATTGAAAGATGGCAAAGCAGCGAAGAAGCAAAGACAGCGAGAATTGGTTCGAAGCTAAAGACGAACGCTGGATTGCTAAAAAATATAAGAAAAGCAAGAGTAAATGGGAAGCAGATCAGAAAACGGAATAGAAGAGGAAGAGCTGGTGGAGAAAGAGAAGAGATGAAGAGCTACATAGTTGTTTAAAAAGGCTGCTAAAATCGTGTATTTTTTTTTTTTTTTTTTTTTTTTTTTTTGTTAACTATATTAAACACAACGGAAATAAGCAGCAGAAAGTTAATAATAATAATAATTATAATATTAAAAAAAAAAACGGTAAATGTAAATTTAGTAACTAATTAACCACAAAAAACACGCCAACGGTGGCGTTGATACCCACGGCAAGAAAAGAGTTTTTCTTTGTATTACAAAACAAAACATGATAAAAAATAATATATATAATAGTAACAGGCAACAGCAAAACAACAACAACAACAAACATCAACAAAATATAGCAAAATTAGCGTAGATTGAGAAAAAAAAAGCAAATATAAGCAAGGCCAAAATGGCAGCAGACAACAGCAGTAAAATTAACAGCGGAGATAACAGTGACATGTGACAGAAACAGTAACATGAACTTAACATACTCTTTACACACACACACACACACACACACACACACACACACACACACCAACACCAACACCAACACCCACACAATGAAAAAAATGGGTTTAGTTTGTATGTTGTTCACCTACACACATTTACACACATTGCAGATTGTTCATATATATATAGATATATATATACACATATATATCTTATGTTCATCTTGATAAGTTTGTTTGTTTGATTCTGCCTTAATATACAATACACACATAAAAAAACAACAATACATTTATACGTAAATCATTATATATACACAATATATAAATACATAAATATAAAGATAAATATGCCAGTAATTTTTTTTGATTCAAACTGTAAATTGTATTTCCATACGTCCCACAAACACACATACTCGCACACACACACACACGATTGAAATTTCAACAATATGAAATTTTTTAAATGAAAATCGAATTTAATATCGTTTTTGCATTTAAATCATATTTATTTTGTATCAAAATTCTGTTGCATCGTTCACATCCAAAAAGCCAATTGTTTGTTTTTTATTTTGGCAGCGATAAACCTGACCCCCCCCCCCCCCCCCCCCCCACACACACACACACATGCGCGGAACAACAACAACAACAACCCAAGCAATTGAATACACTAGCAAAGCAGAAAAAAATGAGTACACTGTACGAATGAAATAGTTGAAATGTTTATCAAAGGTAAAAATCATAAACAATAAAAAGCAAACATTTTTATATGCCACACAAATACAGCAACAACAACAACAACAACAACAACAACAACAACAACAAAATATGCAAAATTTTCAACAAGTTGTACCAACTCTTAAAAGTAAATTTATATATATATATACATGACTATATATAATATATATAATATAATATAAAAACGTAAGAACACACACATCTGAGTAAACAAAAAAAACTTCTTATTAAATAATAACTAATGTAATAGTTTTTATTAAATATATAATATATATGCATATATGTATATATATATTCATATATGTTGGTATATGTATATATATATATATATGTATATATGTATGTATGTATGTATTACTTATATTGCATAATATATATTTTTTTTTTAATTTTAAACCATAATTGTAATGAACTATTGCGTAACAATGTATTAAATATTAATATCAAAGGCATATTAATAGAAATATATAAAAAAAAAAAACAAAACAATTTAAAAATATGATAAAAAACAAAAAAAAAAAAAAAACTACCACGCTAAATGTTTCAATAATATATAGAGATCTATATGTATGTAAAACCCATATATAAAAATTTGCCCAAAGCAAAGTAAACGAAACTAAAATGTTGAGAATCGGCTGAGAGATACCAGCACAAGTTGATATACATAGGGGTTAGGGCGGGTTGGGGACTCTTCGTCGGGCACTTTCATGGCCCCCAAATTCCACAGCTTTTTCAAGCCGCAGTCAAAAGAAACAAAAAAAAAAAAGAAAACTAAATAAAAGGAAAAATATGGAAAGAGGAAAAACAAACTTAGCTCTGGCAGAGATTTTGGGGAACAGGCGGAAGTGTGTGTTAGATGGAAAGAGACAGACAGAGCTGTAAAGAATAAAAGTTTGAGAGCGTAAAAAAAAAACACACACACAATATGAAAACATGAAGAAATCAAGCAAAAACATTTTTTTCTTTAGTCAATACAAAATATAAAATGAAGTGAAAAATTAGAGTTTAGTGCGCTAACAAAGTTAATATGAAATATTGCAAAGCGAAACCGAATGAGAATGAGACAGACGTAGGCAACAGAGACAGATATACACGAGACAGAGACAGAGACAGAGACGGAGACAGAGACAGAGATACATGATGAAACAGGAAGCAAGAGGCAACAACAAGTTGCAACTGAAGAACAAGCAACCCCATAAAACAAACAAGTAGCAAAGAAACTGTAAATATTAAATATACATATATATGTAATAATAAAAATAAAATAATACTAATTAATTTATGCCTAATTAAAATTTAATAAATTCGATGCAACAGACACAAAAGCAAGAGCAAAAGCAAAAGCAAAGCAAAAAATACAGTAAAAAACAAAGAAGAAACAAAAAAAAAAAAAAAAGAAAACGAAAAGAAAAACAAGCAAAAATCGAGAACCATTTCAAGAGACGCGCACAAAACTTGTGCATGTGCGTGCGTACTTTCCTTTAATTTAGCCATCAGTCTTAAGTGTGTTTTTTTTTTTTTTTAATTGTCAGCGTCAATAAATATATGTAATTTAAATCTATTTTTAATGCAACTATGATTATTATTATTATTATTATATAATTATAATTATGATTTTTTTTTTTTTGTAACTGTAATACAAAACAACAGCAAGAGCGAATCTATATGTAAAATGCACAGTTTAAATTATAGATATATACCGCATATCTGAACACATATATGTGTATATATATACATTTTAAAGAAAACTATTATTTTTATTATTATTTTTTTAAAAACAGTTTCGGTTCGCCACACAGCGAAAGCGAACTGAACACAAAAAACCAACAACAAAATAAACAAGCAAAATGTTTTCAAAAAAAAAAAAAAAAAAAAAAACAAGAAGATTTATGATTTTTATTCATTTTTTAAATTAATTTGAATTGATTTGCGTACTCAAATATTTCAAGACAGTAAAAAAAAGACAAGGCATTCTAATGTGTAATAACTATTAAGTGTTTAAATAGTACTAAATAATAAAGAAAAGAAAAGAAATCAAAATGCAACAACAACATGGAAACAACAACCACAACAACAACAAGAACAACAACAACAACATTAACAACAAGCTGGTGTCTCATTTGCAGCAGAAGTCGCAAGATGAAAAAGCCCAATTAAATTATTTGTTGAGTATTTTATTAATTAAAAAATTTAAATTGAGAAGCGAGAAAAAGCAAAACAAAAAACAAAAACAAAAACTGATTATACATATATATATATATATATGTATATAAATAATTATATAACAAAATTATTTAATAGTTATGCTAAAAAATTATTTAAACCAAAGTGGGAAAAACAACGCATGCGGCATTGAAAAGGGCTTAGACTGGGACCCAAAGCCAATTAACCAAACCCAAGATAAAAGACAAACAAAAAACACTTCCCACTAGGTTCTAGGCCGCGTTTCTAAAGGCTAACATCATCTACATATATAAATGAAAATTGGATGAGTGCGAAAGGTGTGCGAAAGGGCCAAAGGGCCAGCTGAAGGCAAGGGGGCAGATGATGAGCGGTTGAGCAGATGATGAGAAAACCAGATACTAAATTAATAAGTAAAACATAAAATTAATGAACAAATTTCAAAACAAAACAAATGACAAAAGCAAAAAAAAAAAAAAAAACAACAACAACAAAAAACAAACAAAAACAAAACAAAACAACCAACAAAACATTGAAAATAAAAAAAAAATACTAAAATGATTACAAAACAAAAAAAAATTTACAAAAAAAAAAAATTGTAGTTTTATATTGATAGATTTATCCAGCTTTAATTCGTTTATGTTTGCTTTCAGCGCTACGTTTTCCTTATGCATTTTGCTGTCAGTTTGTGCCCGGATGATATCCCGTCATAGTCCCATCCAAGTGGAATGATCTCTCAGCAGCTCGAATCGGAGTGGAGCATTACTTGGCGCATGACAGGAGCGCCGACTGCACGGCTTCGGCCACACAAGCATCCTCGGAGGCCATTCCTATGCGCCGCAGACAAACAAGATGGGATGGCATAAATAGTGTTATTGATAATATTTAGTCTGGAGAGCTCACCCATCGACTGAAATATGGTAACTGCCTGTTCATCCGGATAGTTGCCATGGATTATAACTCCGCCCAACTCGCCAGCTATCGGCGCGGGCAGCCCAACCAGCTCGTGCTCAGCATTGGACATACAGTCGACGTAGACCAGCGATTCGGCATAGATATCCGCGGATACCTCGCCAAAGTGCACCTCGCCAGCGCCCACAGCTGAAAGTAGATCAAGCATTTGGAAGGGTTTTTATAACGCTTTTGATCAGTCGAGTAGGAAAAGTCATGCCCGTTTGTCTGTGTTGTCTGTTAATCTGCAAAGAATATCTAGCTACATATTCCGGACTCGGCAGCATTGGATACCCCCCCCATCTCGTTTATATAGCTGCCATAAGGTTTCGATTGAAAATCCTGTTCGCGTTTTACGATACCCTTATTAAACATGGCATATAGTATAAGCTCCATTATGTTCTTATCATATGAACATCACATAATATAAGCTCTATAGGAAAAAAACGGTGCTTAAATGAGTATGAACAAGTTTTTTGGCCTTCGAGGAAGATATTTCAACGAGAATTTACATGCTTCTCATAACATATGAGCGAAATCTTATCTGCCATAAAAACGATCGGGCGATAAGAGAACATAAGTAATATGGCTAAGTATTGAAACGTCTCGTTAAGCTATATATTGTTTCTTCGGCAGACCGAAAAGAGTTTCCGTAACTGGACCTATGCTGTTTCAACAACATTTCTTTACAAATGAGTGGAGTCTGCTAATATGTGGTTCCTTTTTCAAGCTCTATCGGGATTCATTCCTAACAAAAGACGAAATGGATGCATATATATATTACATATCAGACGGAAGGGACATCAAATTGAGCTCCGCTTACCGTTGATGTGAACGGAGCGCTTTTCGCGCAGATCGTTGGCATGGATGAGCGCCTCACGCGCATATGTGGCCATGCAGATGACGTCCGCCTGGGCAACGGCCTCGCGAGCCGAGCTGCAGACCTTGATGTCGGGCATGTCTGTGGCATAGCTGTTGCTGCTGTCGCTGGACAGCCGCTGGCGCAGCTGGCTGGCCAACTGGACGGCTTGGGATTCGGTGCGATTGTATAGATTCAGCTGCTTCACCTTGAAGTTGGCGCACATGGCGGCGGCATGCAGCTGCCCCTGGGCGCCGCAGCCCACGATTGCCACGTTGATCTCAAGCTGATGCTCCGCTCGCGGCCCAAAGCGACGGAAGTACAAGTATTTTGTGGCCACCAGCGAGGCGGATACAGTGCGCCATGTGGTGATGTCCGTGCCTGCCATAATGGCCTCCAGTTCGCCCGTCTTGACATTGAAAAGCATTATGTTGGCGCAGATGCTCGGCAACGGCGGCTGCAGTTGCCGGTTGGCCCTGAAAGATGTGACAACCTTGCAGGCCAGCGTCGAGCGGCCCACATTGGTGGCATCGCCGCCAGCGCCGCCCGCCGTCAGTCGATAGTTGCCCACAAAGGCGGGCATGGTCAGCATTAGCTTGCTGGGATCGTTGCCGGCTATGGTGACGCTGCGCGCCGGCTGACTCACATACGACTTGATGCTGTTATTGGACTGCGGCTCATTGCCCTGATCCTGCTCCATGTGCTCGACTCCGGCATTGGCGTTCGGCTCACTCGTATGATCCACAACCGCCTTAAGCGCCGCCTCGACGGCCTCGTTGACCATCGGCCAATTGAGTACGCGGCGCACAGACTCGGCGTTGTAGAAAACGGGACTCAGATTGTTCATTTTTTAAATAATTCCTATTTTCAACTATTTTTGGGAATCCGAACTGAACGGAAGTTGCAGATGTAATGACCAAAAAGTCAGCAGGCACCAAATCTTGAAAGCTAATCTGGCATTAAATGCATGGCCAACTAAACTGTCGAGTCACCAAAATACTGCTCGAGTATTACGTATGTATGTTTTGTTTTTACTTTATTTTACATATATCTATATTCAGACATGCGGACTTGCTGCATTTTTCATTTATTTCCATCAATTCAAATAGTAAACATGACCTTTGATCGCGTTCGAGTCTTTGACATAACATTCTGTAACGCTCAACAGCTCTGCAAGTATTTTTCTACTTGGGATATCGCTTAAATATATCGCATACATATGTTTCGTCTGTTAAGAAAAATTGACAATTCCATCGAAAGCCGCAGGCTAATCTCTACACTTTTCGGTTATTTTTTGTTTGACATAATGTGTTGACTTCCATGTTATCACTTTCATTGTATTTATTTTCCGTTAACATTAACAGCCCGTTTTAGTACTTTAGCTGTTAATTTACAGTGAGGCTGTGGTGCACTGTATACTCGATACCGTTTACAGTGTTTCTCATACTCGATAGATGCACGGCAAGCTCACTGTTATGAATTCGAGTACTCGATACCTAAAAACCCTGTTTCGTGTAATTATTTCGATATATGTTATGGCTGCCGCTCTACAGTCGCTAAATTTTTGGCAATTTAAAAAAGGCTGGGAAACATTTTCCCTTATTCATCTCAAAGTCCAAGTCGAAATTGATAGAAAGTTGAAAGTCTTACTACATACTTTGAGAAGGTGCACATTATAGCGGGGTTTTATGACGTTCCACATTCAGCTGTGGCAAAATCACGAACTAGCCAAAGATATTGGGCATGGAGTTTCGGGTTCAGGCTATTATCAAGTTATCTCCAAGGACCTTTATGAAAATTCATTATAAACGTGTTCCACACTTTGCATAATTCTGGACTCCTGAAGCTTTAATGTTTCAACGATTCCAGATAATTGAAGGCCGAAAAATGCGAGGAGAACTGTTGTCTTCAATTGTTTTCATCGGACTTCTCGATGGTATAACGCTAGGGTGGAGAATATAGGAATAAGGCTTCATAGGCGGAAGATCTTTCATCCGTTGTATATGTGTGTATATGTATGTATGTTCCACTACCAAACACATTCCGATTAGACTAAAAGTATTTTTATATTGGCTCTACTATGCGATTCTCATGAACTCAAGTAATTCGTACAGGTTTCCATGCTTTGAGCATCAATTTTATATTGATTCTATCCCTTTATATCTATTATCTTTTCTCTCTCTCTCTCTCTCTCTCACTCACTCTCTCTCTCTCTCTCTCTCTCTCTCTCTCTCTCTCTCTCTCTCTCTCACTCTCAGTTTGTTTCCTTTTCGTGTTCTCCACTTCTTTATATATGCAGATGAATTTTTAGGACAGGCTCCCATTTGTATATAAAAGAGAATATATTAGGGAAAATAAGACGGCCTCTGCCAATGCTAAAACTTAAGCCGAAGCTTAGATAGTCGATAGTTGAATGAATATTAATAATGAATTAATCAGTTTGAATGAACTGTTGAAGTACTTTCCTTGAAGTGCTGCGCTTTTCCTCATTGCCCATGCATTTTCCCAGTCTGACTGGGGGTGTGAAAGCATTTTCACTAGTGTGCTGGGAGTGCTTCACGCAGCCGCAGATAAACCGCAGAAAGGGGCAACACGACCCGACTACGAAATGATACCACAAAAGGGAAAATATATGTATATGTATATTACAGTGGCGCTCCAGCTGCTGCAACATGCATAGATAATTCTCGCAGTGCAGCTAGTGACATGTTCATCTCGGCGGCATCTTAATGTCGAAACTGAGTCAAGCCGCTGACATCGTGTGTCTCATTTGCGAAAGTGAAAAGCGTTTCCCGTCGCAGCAGCAGCAGCAGCAGCTGATAGGAAAATTAATTTATGCTATTGCATTGTTTGCCGGCTGCGAATTGCTTTTCCCAGCTGCTAATTCAAATTTTGACATAATTTTTAACTTTCTCACTTTTGTCTTGCGCCGCTCAGTGCAATTTCTCTTGACTTGACCTTTGCCGGCAGCATCAGCGCCCGCTTTGCCCACCCACCACCCACCACCCACCGACTCCCATAGCTGCAGCAGCAGCAGCAGCAGTAGTTGTCGCCTGTATGGCTGCCACGGCCTTGGGAATTATATTTGCCGCTGATTTATTCGTGCAACATGGGGGCACCACAAATCAAAGTCAATTGCTGCTTGCTGCTGACTCAGCGACAAACTGTGGCTGCGCCCCAGGCCGGGTTCCTGCCTGGAGTCGGACCTGTTGCTGCTGGTCAGGACCGAGGCGGTATTGGGGCCCGCCTCTGCACCCGCCGTTGTTCTAAATGGTTTGACCTTGCATTTGTGGTAAGCGGCGGGCCATAAATTTTGGCGCTGCCGTTGCGCAAATGTTGCGCCCCAAATCCCAGTCCAAATGCGAATTTGAATCCAAAATTGAAAACGAAAAGTGAATTGTCGCCAACACTTTGAATAAATTGTTTAGCGATTTGGCAAGCGCCAAAAATTTAATGTTAGCCAAACACCAAACACCCAAATGATATGTGAGCTCACGAGTAAATTGCTGAAAAAGAAAACAAAAAAATCAAGAAAAATGAAACGATGCAATCGCTATTAAATTTATAAGCAATAACAACAACAACAACACAACAACAACAACAACAAATTATTAACAATTTGTGTGCTTGGGCTGGGCGCAATCGTTTTATCGCGAGGTTTGTAACTGAAAAATTGAAAGAAGGTCGGGAAGGAATTCAATTCACATTAAATAAATATAACTGTTAGAAAAATGTTATTTATTTATGCCTTTCATTGTTATTCATGTACATATATAAATATATTCAAATGTGCCCAGGTCCGCGCTAACTTATAAAATGCATTACAATAAAAGTTTAATCCCTGCTGTTTTCTTGTTTAGTTCACAAATGAGTATTTACTTAAATGAAATATCATTTTTTTCATTTGAATTTTAAATATATTCATTTTAATACATTTGCTGAAAATGGACATAAATGTATATCGAGATACTGGTAACAATGGCATACTAAGTATTTTTATCTTTCGGAATAGATGTAGAAATAGAGTAAATGCAAAAGCTTAAAGAAATGTATTCGGTTCCAGTTCCGGTTCTGGTTCTGAATTCAAATCTTTACTAAGCGGTTCCCGAATTCGGTTTCAGTTTCGGTTCCAGTTTCGGTTTGATTCCCTGATAAAAAGTTAAATACATTAGAAATTAGTTCCCCCAATTTGCTGTTGTCCGTTAACCATGTTAACGGGTTTTTAAAGTTTCTTGTCAACTTTCATTCAAAGCTACCTTGATATTATAAAATTCTATCAAGCAGTTAGCATTTTGCCACAATAACAAAATAGTTATTTTATATGGCACATTTTCCTCTATATTTTTTATAAGGTTTATTGTATTGCATCATAAATAACATAGGCGTACTTTAATATTTTGAAATGCTATTTCAATTCTTCGCTCATTTAAGATTATTCAAAGGAAATGTTAACTGTCAAATATCAGTCTTAAAAAGTTAATTTTGATATATCATAGTTATTTTATTTACTTGATATATAATATATATATAATTTATATAATGCTTATGCTTATATGTAAATGTGTTACGGTTAGGGTATTTGGCACTTCGGTGCTTTGTTCTGGCATCTGTTAACAGTTGTGTGAGTGTGTGTGTATGTGCGTGTGTGGCTTGAAGTTTTGTTTCAAGTTGCTGAAAAGCCAACACAAAATTTTATTTATGCCATTTTCTTGGCCTGTTGCTGCAGGCTTTTGAATTTGTAACTTTAACTTTAACTTTAACTTTAACTTTAACTTTGAGTTTAACTGCCATGTTGGCGTATGGAGCAGTTGTTGTTGTTGTTGTTTTTGTTGTTGTTGTCTTTTTTTCTGCTGCACCAGAACGTAGCCGAGCTGCCACACCTTTTTAATGTGTTGCCCTCATTGGCATCGCCTGTGCTGAGTTTGAAGTTTTCTGTTTCTGTGTTTCACTTGTTGTTGTTTTTGTTTTTGTTTTAATGTGCGCCCGCACACTTTGTGCCCACACACACACACACACACACACACGCACAAACATACAGGCAGACAAGCACACATGTATACAGACAAAAAGGAAAGTTGGCAACGCGAATGCGAAAAACTCAACCAGACCAGAGACCAGAGACCAGAGACCAGAGGCTGAGCTTTGTAGATCAATCTCAGCTTCGGACTGCCTTTTGCCGTTAGCCGGCGGCGGCGCTCACTAAAATGTTGTTTGTCCTTGGAGAATGTGGCCGGAAAAAAAAAATGCTAACATATGTACAGACATAGGTCTTACAATATAGATATATACATAAGTGCATATACATATATAGATCTGTGTGTATCCAAAGTGTTGCCGTTAGGTTTCACGTTGGCGCCGCACCCAACATGCCCCTCCCAGCCGACCCCCCCCCCCCCCCCCCCCCCCTGCCCTGCCCACACCCCTTTTCATTCATGCCATTCCTTGGCTGTGCCAAACGTCAGATTTAGATCGGCTCGCAATCATTGCCGTCAATAGTCATCCACTTTATTATTGTTGTTGTTGTTGTTATTATGGATAGATACGTATATTTTACAGTTGCCTTTGTTTAATTGTTTCGATTATTATTGTAGTTTTATGTTTTATTGCCACGACTTCCGTCTGTGCTCTTTTTTCTATGGCCACTCGATAGACAACTTATCGCAGTGTGATTCCCTGAATCGAAGCTCATAATGGAGTCTTACCGTACTCCAAATAATCAATTTATCTAGATCTACATGTGTGTGTGTGTGTGTGTGGGGTCAAAAGAATCTGATCGAAGTGTGCGTCTCTTTATTTTATATGAGATTGCCAGAAGCTGACTTTCGGAAATGTCTAAATTAACTCAGCTGTTGATGTTGATTAAAAGTTAGTACAGTGAACCTTGCCTGTCAATTTATATATGTATGTATATGTTTCCTAGCTATGTTTTTGCTCTATTAAATAAGTCTGGTAAATTTACAATTAATTAGGAACACATTTTAATTGATGCACTGCAAAGCAAATATTTCAAAAAGTTCGGAAGACAAATGTTTATAATGAATATTCAATTTGTTTGCTTCATCGAAGTTAGTTTTATGTTACAAATAAGTTCTAATTTAAACAATTTTGTCTCCTTGGGATATTAAGATACTCGGAGTTCATTAAAACGACTGCGACTTCCCATAAGTGAAGTGAATGATCCGTATTCACGTGCTCATGCCAACAACTTGTTATACCCTGAACCCATTGAAAACGGGTATAAGGGTATATTGT